AGTTCTAGGTAATTTTTCTCCCTTCCCTCCAGTGAACATCCTACTCTATAAAATAAACCTCAAATTACCAATTACCTAAATAGCTAGCTAGTGCTTCTCTTATACAAGGTTACCTGGATGTGAGAAATGAGTGACCCTGATTGAAACTCCCTGTGTTCCTTGGCATTGCAATGATTACTTGGCATTACAGCCTGCTGATCAAGTGACCTTCCAAACCTGAGACTAATGAACTTGGAGTCTGTTTAGAGAACTGCGAAATGCCCCTGCTTATGATGAAAATGTTGGTAGTTTCCAAAAGCATTAAGTCAACACAGCAGGGGCACATAATATTCCTCTTTCAAGGGCTAACAGCGGAACAGAAAAGGGCCTCATGGGTCACCTCCACCCATCTCCTGAAAAGCCTGCTGCACTTACCAAGAGGGGCAGCTGCTGGAAGGTGGAAAGAGCAGCCCAACCAAACCAAACCAAACCAAACCAAACCTTAATCAAGGTGTGCTGTAAGTCTGTTCAACATTCCACACATAAGGAACATGCATCCCCCCCCCCACTGTTGTCCAAGATTGCAGAGTGCGCCATGCTTAAACAGAGGTATGCAGGCCAGTGGGTCTAATCCAGCCTTCCAGTATTCTCCAGATGGCCACTCCCCTTCCTATGGCTCCATTGCCTTTCCTTGTTCACCAATCATTTGGTGTCTCTCCAGCCTTTGTGCTGTCCTTTCCCTATTCTAAAATGCCTCCCCTAAAGATAAGTAACTGGCAGTAAGAGTAGCAAACTCCAACATGTTGATTTTTTGTCCCCCTCTTGCCTTCAGGCTCTTAAAAAAGCTTCTTCAAAATTGAATCCAGCTGCCATGCAGGTGAAAGGAGTTCTCCACTCCTGCACTTAAATGTTCCCTCCTTTTTTGGTTTTGTAGGCAATAGTGCAGATATGAATAATAATAGTAGTAGTAACAACAACAACATCTATAGTTCCCAATAACCAAAGCTCTCTGGGCAGTAAACAAGAGTAATAAATACAATAACATACAATATAGAAAAATCAGCAATGACTGTCATTAAATTATGTTAAAAAATAAAACCACAGTTTTGCAACTAAGGAACTCAAACCTGTCCCTACTGCTAGGTCTGGACTAAAACATTATTTCCTGAAATTATTTGGATCTTCCAGGGAGAGTGTCCAGGGCCTCACCATTGCCTCTTTAAGGCAGAATGGGACCATTGCTCACCTCCCAAGAGCAGGAGGCTTATAAGCCATTCCTTATTCCTCCCTTCCTTATAAGCCATTCCCCTACAAGGCAGGCATGGTTGCATGAAACCATCCAAGAACCTTGCCAACATCCTCAAGCTGAAGCGGCTGGAACTCATCCAGTCAACCAGGATCACGCTGTGCTGCAGACCTCACTTGATTCTACTGCTGAAACACTGAAGTCTTAAGTCCTGGCTGATGCAAGACATTTTATCTCAGAAGCATCTAGCAAATATATCACTCCCGGCCTCTGGTTGGTCTAAGATGGCCTTGGATCCAGCATGTAATAAGGCCTGGATGATTCTAGAGAGATCTGCTGGACAGTAAGTAGAAGACTGGGTAGAGGCAGTGAGATGATTTTTCTTAGACATTCTCACTGCCCCCAAATATATCTGCTTACAGGCACTTACCAGGGCAAACTTGCACCCACTAGGAGTCTTCCTCATCTGATCTCTAGCTATCTCCTGTACTTTTTCATTATGCTCAGCTCTGAGACGGTGTTCAGGAATGATTTTGTCAACTGCCTGGGTGATCTCTGAAAAACAGAGCTACCAGCTGTATCAGCCAGAAAATCTCCCAAGTTCCTCTGGAAAAGATTAGGATCCATTAACCTCCAGGAATGGACCACCTTAAACAGTTCCCCATCCTTGCCAAGGGGAAAAGTCACCATTACTCTAAATCTCAGGCTGTGATCCAATCAGAACAAAGGAACTGACTCAAAGCCCCCTGTCTTCCGATCACTATGCCCGTGCCAGGCTGGGGGGAAAAAAAAATCCAGATCTCCAGAAATGCGAATGTCTTATGCAAGTGGCATCCATTTTATTACTGACCCGGATTATTTGTGGGTGAGCTGCCATCTTTTGCTGTGCTTCTGGTTTCTGGACCACAGTCTGGAGAACAGAGTGGCCCTGAGGCATACCAAAGCCAGGCTTTTGTTATTCCTTGCCTTCCATCCCAGCAATTGTTTATCCAGTCTCCCTAAATGTATCTAGGCTAGGAAAAAAAGGCATGCAGCTTTTTTTTAAAAAAAAATATTAATTACTCAGCTGTGTACTAATGCAATCAGTGCTTCTGGTCTGCACAAAACAAGGAGAATTTTGAGATCCTATCCAACATCACTTCTGAACTGAAGGGATAATTTAAAAAGTTGAAAGGTATTGACTAAATACAAATACACAGTCAGGGCCAGCCCCCTCCCAACCCATGGGGTGAGTCCCCCACCTCAGGCAGCAGAGAGGGAGGAGTGGCCAATTCTGCAGCTCCATCCCACCCAATCCTGCCAGGAGGACCTGCCACTGCCTGCTCCGGAGGGCTCTGCCACTGCCATGGGCCAGCCCCTCTCCCACCATGCGGTGTGCTGCACCCTCCGGAGAGCCGTGCTGGCTGAGTCAGCTGCTGACTGGCCTGAAAAGTGCAGCTCTGGAGGGTTTCTTCCTCAGAGCCAAGCATGAGAGGGGTTTTCTGGAGGATCACCTGACAGGAGAAGGCGGGAACATGACGTGCTCAAGGGAAGGGAGCTGTGATGCAAAGAGACAGGTGCTCTCTTGCCTGAGACCGTGGGAGAGTTTGCTCCAGGAATGTACACAGTACACATCCAGTTCAAGTATACGGTAATCCCACTGTACACAAGAATGTAAAGGTACCTACAAGCACAGAAAGGTACTACGACGGCACAGGAGCATAGTAGCCCACACCGCTATGAGTTGTCTTCGGGGGTTCAATCAGTTCCCACTATTGTAGGCTTTTAGGCAGGTCATGAGGATGTCCTTGATTAGTTTTAGTGGACTGTTCCAGTTTGAGCTGCATTTTGTGTGTGTAGCTTTTTAATGCTATCCCGATCAGCAGTTTTGCTGGTATTTGCTGCTTGTTGTGCTTTTATTACAATATTGGTTTTTATTACATAGGATTTTATTGTTGAAAATCAACTTCAGAGGGCTTCTGCCCTGAAAGACAGACTAGACTAGAAATATTTTAATCATACATACATACATACATACATACATACATACAGAGAGAAAGAGAGAGAGAATATATCCTATTGGTTAGGATAATGGCTCTTATGGTGAATTATAATGAATATTGTGAATAAACAGAAGTTCTTCCTGAGGAAGAAATGATGTTATCTCACTGTCTCAAACACTGCAAGAAATAAATGCACAGTTCAGCAGAAATATCCCACTCACCAGGACGGCATACCCATTGCGCAGAACATGTTCAATAGCGCCTTTATGCCTTGAACTCTGCCATGTGCTGAATACCTTTTGATCCCAGAGGAGCTAGCGAGAGCTGCGAGTCCCCAGGAACCCTTTGCAGGAATGTTCTGAACTTTCCAAGAGGATTCGGATAACATCTCCATTGGCAGGAAAAGTGGCCATAGGCATGGCCGATGTTCAACTGACATTAAAAATGAGGACCCTGTGTAAAACATGATCTGTTTTGAATGTCCTCTCCCATCACCACATTAACCTTGAATGAAAGCAAGGCAAGTTATAGAGAGCCACTTCAATATCATGCCGTTTGAAACTCAAGAAATGTAAACAGCACCAGAAGGGCTTCAGAAACAGCAAACTGAAGATTGGAATCCATCATGCCTTTCATTAGGGCTACTAATGGCAAAAGTGCATAAAGAAAATCAACAGTTGCCCTGGCCATATGCAGATACTCTGAAAGATAAGTTCCGTTGTGTTTGATGGGGTTAATTCCCAAGAAATGTGCTCAGGCAGACAAAAACTACAACCCTATTCGCATTTACACCCTGTGGAAAGTGGGACTAATGTCTGGGCGATGTATAGAATTGGGCTGTGTGTTTCTGAGCCACATAACATGGCAAGATTTCAAAGCTTTCTGATGTAAACCCAAGTCAATTGGTATTTGCACCAGTACGAAGCTAAAGTCAATTTCTATTACAGAACACAAGTTAGAAACAAGCAACCAAGCAAACCAAACAGGCAGAATTCTCAGAAGAAAGTGAAAATCACTTTATTAAGATGCATATATCAAGGTCAAATCCTCCAACTGTTACTTAGAATCCAAAGCAACAAAATGGAATTTAAAAAAAACTGTAAAAACCCAACCCAAACCAACCCCCCTCATCCTCACTGCACCAGCGTATATGGTTTCCACTGCATTTCAAGAATCTCTCTTTTAAAAGAGCAATTTTTACGTTGACAGTTTCCAAATAATGATTTTAGAACTTCTTACTAAAACATTATTCTAAGCAATAATCTGGAAGCCGTGCATGTCATAAAAATTGTCCTTGCTAAGCAGACATTCATAAAACATGTCAAGAACCACAACTGGTGCAGATGGGTTTTTCTGTCTTGCACCACTGAATCAATGCTTCCTACACATACTCACTCGAGAGTAAGTTCCATTGAATGCAATGGGGCTTACTCCCAAGTAGACTGCAGTGAAAGAGATTTAAGAAGCACAGGATAACTCCCACCTTGCCAATATCAACGTGGGTTGGACAGAAGCAGACGGGGCATGGCCTATGGAGCACAGCACACAAGCCAATGCTTTGCTATCAACCATCCCATGAGTAAGTTACAATAAGAGAGCACACAGGTCAGGAAGGAGGAGCAGTGCTTCAGTGGAATGGATGCTTTCCATGGCTCCTACTTGGCCTCTTCCTGCTGAAGTATGTTCACTGCATGAACAAGACCAAAACTCATGCAAGACCAAATATTTTTGAATTCATATTTAGGTGACTTTTTAAAAAATGCCTTCTCGTTCTTCTGCGATTTTTTTCTTACCTCTGTGATGTTTTCTTATATTTTCTCCTGCAGGAAAAGAGCATAAATAAAAATAAGAAATAAGTAGAGTCAACATGGAATGTGGGTGAAGAGGGAGAGGGATAGCATTAGATAATATGAGGGTTAGATGTTTTCATGAGCTCCGTGAGACAATAAGCTTGCTCATGAGAAAAATCTAAAGCTCATAGCTTCTTGCAGGTGAATGATTCCAGGGCCAATCATCCTTAGCACAAAGAGGACTTCTGTGCCAGGGTTGTATCTAATATTAGTTCCTCTTAGAGCAGACTCACTGAAAGGAATAAGACTCAAGTTAGACACAGACAAATCTGTGTCTCCGAATGTTACTGTACATGATAGCATGCAAAAATAAAAGCAACATACTGCCTTTTTAATGGCTTCCACAGCTGAAAAAATATAAGGAATAAGAATTCTTAGGGATAAGCATCCGAGGAACCATTATCATGTGGCAGAAGCTGGAAACCACTTCCCTCTCTGCTCAGCAAATTTCCATGTTCAGGAAAAAAAGGACTTGTTTTTCTTGCTATGGCAACCTAGGGCCTTACAGCAAAAGGGTTACTTTCTCAAGACCACTTAGCATAGGTAAAGGTAAAGGTTTCCCCTTGACGTTACATCCAGTCATGCCTGACTCTAGGGGGCGGTGCTCATCTCCGTTTCCTAGCCAAGGGAGCCAGCGTTTGTCCCCAGAGAGTCTCTGTGGTCATGTGGCCGGCATGACTAAACACCGAAGTGCACGGAACACTGTTACCTGCCCACCGAAGTGGTACCTTTTTATCTACTTGCATTTGCATGCTTTCGAATTGCAAGGTTGGCAGGAGCTGGGACGGAGCAACGGGAACTTACTCCGTTGTGCAGATTTGAACCGGCGACCTTTCGATCAACCAGCTCAGCAGCACAGCAGTTTAAACCACTGCACCACCTGCAGTCCCCCACTTAGCATAGGGGTAGGCTAATTGAATTCCAGTATCTGTTGTTTTTATTCTTTCAGCTTAAATTCTATTCCTTTTCCAAATTTATCTATGATTTCTTTAAAATCTAAATACCTATTTGAATATTATTTTAATGTGTATTTTCCTCAAAATAATAATTTCAACTAGAATTTTGATTTGTTTAAACTGCTGAACAGTTATTATCATTATTATTAGTTGTATGCCACATCCCTTAGCTATAGACTCTCTGAGTGGCTCACAATCCATTATATGACAACCATTAAAATAACTCATTGCATTGCAACATTTGGAGAAGTACAAAATCTGGTAGCTACATTATTAGTCCAAGGGCTTGTCATCTTTATAGGAATTTGGAAAATCAGATTACATCAATTATTACCTACTTTTTCTCTTGGGCAGAGCTGGCCTTATATTGTGACTGATTTGCATTGAGACATAACATTTCACACCTTTAATCAGGCGCTGATTTTCTTAAAGTTTGCTCAGTACCATTTTCCTTCTGAAGCAACTCTATTTCATTCAAGAAAATTAAACTGTATTATTTACAACAATATTATTCATAACAGTGTTGTTGTGTTTTAAAGGAAATAATAGTGATGAACACCTCTGATAAGGATCCTACACCTGCTAAAGCAATCATAACTAACTCAAGCCCCATTACTTCCAGTGGTTGGCATGGGGGCCAAACTTAAAACATTTTCATTTCCATACCTCCGTGCATACCCAAACCAGTCACCATAAATAAGCAGTACAACATCACTGCTTATATAAACCTCCCATTTGCATGTTACAGATAAAAAGAGTGTAAGTCCAACAGCAGCTCTCTCTTAGGGGTCCCCACCCTGGTTTGTGCAATAACAATGACTTTCCATCTCTAGGTAGCCTATATTTGCCTGTATTACCACTGCAAGCATCCGAAAGTTTTCTCTGTAGTGATATCTTGGCACTTCTAAGTTTTCAGGAACCACTGTCAGTAGCAGTCTTAAAAAAAAAGTATAAAATCCACCTGAACTCAACAATTTTTAATTCTTCCGGGCAAGGGAGGGATCAGTGCTTAGTAGCAGTGTAAATGCTTTTAAGGCATAACCTGTCAGACTGGGAAAGAACCATGCGTGAAAATAAGCACAAAAGCGATTAGTCAGAGTAGTTGATCCTGGGCTATTGGTTAGACTGATGTTCTGGATATGTGTACAGCAACTCCCCCCCCCCCCGCCCCGATTTATATCCTACCTTTTTCCTACAAAGGGCTCAAGGCAGCTTACATCATTCTCCTCCTCCATCTTATCCCCACAACAACAACCCTATGAGGTAGGTTGGGCTGAGAGTCTGTGACTGGCCCAAAGTCACCCAGTTGGCTCCATGGCCGAGCAGGGACTAGAACCCAGATCGCCTGAGTCCCAGCCCCATGCTCTTAACCACTACACCACACTGGCTCTTCATGCATTCAACTGCCTCCAGCTGAGGTAACACCAGATGACAGAACACAATCTGAGTTATTTCACCTGCAATGACTGATTATTGTATACAATTGTCACTTGATGTAACTGAAAGCTGACCCCTCATGAAAATAGGTTCAGCACCATGGAGAGCTCCTTAAGCATTTGAAATACACCCTTGGAATGGAATCACTACACCACTGACATTGGAATCACCAACCTCTACGGAAAATAAATATGATATAGCTATAAATGTAGATAATTAGATAGAGAATGCCAAAATTCCTCCAGGGTTGATTATCTGTAACCTCTGACCTGGCTTTTGAGCCAGGCTGTCATGTTGCCTTACCTTCCACCTTGGTCTCCCCTTCCAGGAAATCTCATTCTCCCTCTATGCATGAGGCCTGTTCTTTGTTTTCCATGTCCTGTCTCAGGCATGGCTGCTGGGGCACAGTCTTCAGCTTCCCTTGGACTATGTTCTTGGTAAGTTCTGTAGCCACTAATCTAGGTTCACCCCAGTCCCAGAACAAATCACTGACTCCTGATTGCCAATGCACCAGACTGTGCTTTCATGCCATTTCCAAGGACTGAATCTGATCCTGAAATCACAAACAACTGTGGGCAATAAGGGCCTGCTTACAAAAGCCAGATTCAGGGCAGGAAAATGCCCAGAATCAGATTTAAGCAAACCTGTTTAGTGATGGAATCCAGACACCAAACACAGAGAAGTCCTCTTTACCACACCCCGCTTGCTCATGCATTTTCTTGGAGAGTTGGCAATTGATCTTTGACACAGTTTGCTCTTGTGCCGGGCTGCATTACACATGGGCTTGGCCAAGGAATATGAAAATTCTTGAAAGATAGGCATATGCACATTTAAGCTAACCTTCTTGCCAGCAGTGAGAATCTGCTATAAGCAAGTGCAAGTGGCATGTGAAAATTAAGAAAGACTAAGGGTATTTCATCATAATAATATTAACGCAGTCATCCCAACAGGCTGTATAAAGGAAGATGATGGGCATGTAGGATTATTCCACCAGACTGGCCGATTTTACTCTTCCTGTCCCCTTTTCCTTGTGTATTGAGCCTTTTTAGTTTATAGATCTGCAGATAGGGACCATCCTTTTTCATATTTGCCTGTAAGCAGCTTTGGAGAAATATATTTTAAATAAAAAAATAAAAATTAATGTTCTCAGACTAGAACAAGCCAATGCCAGGGATCCAGTTGGGATTTCATGGGACTTTGGAGATCTTCAAGAAAAAGTCACAAATGCCACCCTAGGAAGCAACATTCTCACAAGAATAAGGCCTTCCATCTAATTAAGACAGAAATGAAGAATCATTTGAGAAAGCATGAATGTAAAATGAAGCATGTGAGCAGAAGATCAGCTCTAGCACGTCAATAGCAAGACTTGCACTATCGCTGATTTTTTGGCTTTTCCACCCTACCCTCGTGGCACATGGGTTGCTGTGTCATCCAAACTCAGCCAGGTTTGCAGTGGGGCCGGCTTCCAAACCACTCCAAAAACTATAATAAACCAGGGATTCTGGGATGGTTTCAAAGCTTCCCCTGCTGCACACCTAAGTTTGGATGGCACAGCAACCTGTGTGCCACGAAGGTAGTTAGGCAGATGATGCTGCTCGTGACAGGCACAAAGAGGGAAGGAAAAGGAATCTACGGGGGTTTCATTTTGGTGATGATTATGAGAGCCCGTCCAATTAGTTCTATTAGCCTGGCCAATTAGTTCTACTGCTGAGCACACGGTTGACTACTAACTGGCCAGGCAAAATGGATCTAGAATGACCTGGGGACATAGAATGACCTTTTCCCCTCAATCCAGCGTGATGAAGAACTGGGGAAGTCAATTCCCCAAGTATAATCCCCACACCACTTAATCACATGACTATGTTTCTTAGTCAAAAGAATCGCTTCTTCACTCCTACTCAGGTTTTAAAAATAATCTGAATTGCTTTAAGTTAAGTTCAACTGTAGATAACTCTTCAATAACTGACATTACACATCTCTCTATTTATTGTATCTGCGGTTACTTAAGTAAATTGAGCAAATTTGCAAGTGAGAATCTTTTTTTGTTTTCCAAGCAAGCAAACTCCACTTCGAACTTGTCATGTCAAAAGTTAATTCCTACACTTGTCACCAGTTTTGAAAGTTTGGTGACTCAGCCCCAGGGCCAATGCAGACATTGCTTTAAATCTACATCTAGTGGTAACACGCCCTCCCTTCCACCATTTTCATTCTAGAGCAGGTACATGGCCCTCACCGTAGGCCTGAAAAGCTGCTCTACCTCCCATCCAAGAATTTAGTTCTCATCCCCCAAACCCCCAAGCCCAGAGTCAATCCAGAATAAACATGGAATGAAGAAGCAAAGACACAGGGGCTAGATATGAGTTTTAAGTAACAGCTCTTCTCCTACAAGTACCACCTGCTAAAATCCAGTTGAAATGAATTTTGAGACTTTTACCACTTAAGACCCATGGCCAAAGCTAACTAAATCCAACTTGGTGGCACATAAGGTGGAAAGGTTCCTTCACATCCCTCTTTCATGGCCAAATACTACGGCATATTCATATTATATTGGACTATTGGCCTGTTGAACTATTGGTC